GCTTGTTTTTTGGAGCAAGAAGCCATGCCATTTTTCTGGATTTTGCCATTATTGAGGCAGTAGCAGTAGCAGCAGAAAAACAGAAATGTTATTGTGTGCGTATATGGGCCTAAATGCAGTGTGCTTGTGTTGGTGTATCTTCTATGTGGTAGAATACCACGTTAATCATAGTTTTCACACACCGCTTTTCTTACAGTTTTGTAAACATATACACAAACACATGCATATGCATATACACACAAACGCATACTAGCAGATACCGAGCAACGAACTCGGGCAGCAGCGACGCCCAAGAATGAAACAACATAAGGCAACATGAAAACTACAGCAACAACAAACAACACGGCAGCATAAAAACATAGAGAAAGCGAATGAGAGGGGCAGAGACTGAGAGAGAGAGAAAGCAGGAGAGAAGCAGTTTTACGGCAACGACCCGAGCAGACGCTGCCGCAACAGCAGAAGCAGTATTATTAGCGGGTGTTGTTGACGTTCTCTTGAACGCTGCCAATTGTCATGTATGTATGTATATGTATGCAAACTTTGTTGTTGTTGTCTTGCATGTAGTTTATTTATGCTTTCTATTAGTAATTTTTATTACCAATTGCTTCGCCACTGGCAATGACCAAGATCAACGAACCTATTTTGCTCTTTCTTGGTGCCGTCGTTGTCTTTAATATTATTGTTATTATTGGTGATAGGCAAAATCCCATTGAAAAAGCACAAGTGCAAAAGAACAGTAGAATGGGATGCTGATCTTGACCTACGCGCGCGCAAGTTCAAAATGGTTATTCAACTTGTACTTTGTGCGGCTTCCTTCTAGTTCTCGAATTGTAGATTTCAATTTTCAAAACGGAAATTTTAATAACGATCGCGACGTTGTCAATCCAACACATCACACACATACATTTGCACACATACACGCATGAAAAGAAATCTTGAAATTTTTGCTTTTAATTGCATTTACGTTTCTTTGTTTTGAATTTTTTGTTTGCTTAAGTATTCGATTTCTTAATGTCCGTATATAAATTTGGAAATTGTTATCATTAAATTGGCGACAAATTGACGGGCTTTGGTGTCGGCGCCATAATTAAAAAATAAATAAATAAGTGCAATATGTATAAATATATACATATACCCATAAATATTGCTGAGGCGATACTGTACTAAGCTTACATTAATGTGAGTCAGAGAAATGGATGCCAATTTTAGGCAAATAAAATTATATTCTTATTATTATTTATATTTATTTTATCGTATCCATACCTTATTTTTCTAATACAAGTTATTTCAATACAATAAATATTTGCAAATTACATGTGTTTACAAAAAAAAAAAAAGTGTAGACTTTACGTGACTATATTTGGTACATTTTTACCACGTGTGGCAACCTTGGCGTTTATCAGTGCCATGCGTTTATTTGTTTTTCTTCTCTATTTATGTATGTATGTGTATATGCATATTGATTGTTTACTGTTAATGGCGTGCAATGATCGTGTTATATTATCATATTGTTTATATTAAGTGTCTGTGCTTATTGATGTCGTCGTCGTTGTTGTTGTTGTTGATATTTCTGTGCTTTAACGTATTATTATCGCTTAATAAATAGCGTACGCTATATTTGTTTTCATTCAATTTTGCTCAAGCTATAACGCCCGACGGCTTCATTCAGATTTATGTAGCACAGCAACCACCCCGCTCCCCGTCTATTCATCATCATCGTCGCCACCATCATTATCATCATTGCCAGTCGTATAAAGTTGGTTTCGCTTCTGTTTTATTTTTAGTTTGTTTTTATTTATTTTATTTGTTCTGCGGCGTCCAAGCAAAAGCCGGCGGTGAGAACTAACAGAAATGACCGAAGTAACAGTAATATTTAAGCTGCAGCAGTAGCCGAAGCTATGTGGTTAACAGAAAGGTCGGGGGAGAGTCTCCACTCAACGAACAGCAAGGGAGAGAGCGAGAGTGAGAGCGGGAGCGGGAGCGAGGCCGAGTGCGAGAACAAGAGAGAGAATTGTGTCATTCTTCAAAGTGGTTGTGAAATGTTTGCTTTTTCTGCCTACTCATATCACAGCCAGCTTTGAGGAGCGACACGATGCTCAGTACGAAATTCAAAAGATGAAAAACAAAATTAATAAAAAGACAAGAAACTAAGAGTAAAACAAAATTGTTATAATAAAGTCAATATTAATAATAATAATAAAAAAAAAGTATAATAAAAAGTAATTAAAAAATGAACAAAAATCTACTTTTAAATATACATTTTCATTAAAAATATAATTTTTTCTGCACTAGTTTTATTTGTAGTTCAAATGAACTTTACATAAATCATTGAACAAAATTATAATTCATGGTGCCCTCGCAAGATCCCTCCAAATATACTTTTACAAATCAAACTTGATATATATATATATATATGTGTGTGTAATGTCTATTCATCTATCTATCTATATACCTGCTCCTCTTTCTATCCTGAGAATTGGCCACATTCATGCTGAACTCTCAAAGAGGCTGTGAAATGCATTTTAAAAGCTTTGCGAGCATATCACAGCCAGCTTTGATGAGCTTAGCGTAATGTAACGTACATCAATCAATCAGTCAATCAATCTAATCAAATCAAATCAAGTCAATCATAAAATAGCTCGCACTAAAATTGCTCTCGTTGAAGACGGACATGGAATTGGAGGCAACTCATCAAGTAAATTGTGACCAAATAAGTGCAATAGGAAAATAAATAGAAAATTAATAACTTTCCTAGCTCTTCCTCAATACCGTTTTCTTTTGCATCCCAGGCCTAACGCAAACGGAGAAGGAAACTCGGACAACTATGAGTTATGAGTTGAGCATTGGCAGAGAGTTTGGATAAATATATTAGAAATAATATTGTGATGGCATTCGGAATCGTCGGACCGCCTAAATAAAAACAAATTCATCACAGACAAGGATATAGATTCAAATGAAATCAGAAACAATGAAATATTTTTAAAACTGTTTTTATTTCAATTGCAATTGCTTTTCCTATTGCTCTTATTCGGTCAGCCTGTATTATAATGTGGAACATCAGTTTTTAAAATCAATCGGAACTCTGCATCAAAAACATTTGATGTTGCTTATCTAAGCCTCATCAAGTGGTTGTGATATGGATACCCGACGCATATCACAGCCAGCTTTGATGAGCTAGGATAATCAACGGAAAACAACAAGAGAAACAATTGAACATACAT